AATCTCTCTGGTGCTGAAATTACAAGTAATTTCAGCACTTACAAATAAGTGGATTGTTAGTCAGATGGATCATGATTGGTTAATATTAAATACTTTACATTGGTAAAATATCTAATTTATCCAATCATAAAATGTAGTTTAGATCAGGTTCCATTATTATTAATTTCCCCACCCTTTTTCTTCAAAAGAGGAATTGTTAAGTAGATCCCTTACGGAACTCGAATCACAAATAAAACGATTTCAATATAATACAATGCCCTTTCAATGAAAACCTCTTTCATTTGCTGGATTTGCATGAAAAATCCCTAAGGAACATTTTAGTCCATTGTTCCTTTCTACTCCTACGGGGGTGGTCAGAGGATATAAAACAAAGCTGGTTTAATTTTCTGGCTCAAAAGAAACTCAGGTTTATATAGCTAGGTTTATGAAGATCGATATTTGCTGGTATTAGCCATAAAGAACGGAATTCGCAGCAAGTAATCCACATAAAGATGACAAATAAACCCATTTGAATGTTGAAAAAAAATAGGCTACTTTATTAATCAGTGAAAAATGAAGTCGAACGGGTTCAGTAAAAATTATTTGCTGAATTTAATCAGTCCTAGAAACCGTTATAAATTGAATTGAGGCATGCTATTTGGTATATTCAATACTTTTTGCTCAGCGAAATATATAACTTTGTACTTTACCTAGCGTGGGGTGGAAAATTCATAGAGAGAGACTGCGCTTACCAGGGCAAAGCCCTGTATGTTCTGACTGCCATGAAACAGTCGCAAACAGAAGTTTTGGGACAAAAAACTAACAAATAAACGGATATTGAGTATTTAGACTTTTCTTGCCCCATAGCCAATCTCAAGTTGTAATTAAATGTTATTTTAGGTCAATGAACAAAATGTTGACATATATAAGGATCGTCAGTATTTTCTGTTTTTTTTTGGGAAAAGTTTTAAAAATGAAAGCGTTTGAACTCGATTTTTTTGCGCTGCTGCTTGTGCACGTTTATTTAAAACTCATTTGCTACGAAGAAGGGACATTACGCTCTGCATTTACGAAAGTGCAAAAAAACATGATGAATATAGTTTGGAAAAAGCAATCTAGCGGAATATGAAAATTGTCTACTAAACCAGTTTTCTTTAATTGGGTTCTTTCATGAGCAGGCTGTCAATGAAACTAAGTCGTTCTTAGTTTCAGTAATAGAAAAATCAGGGGCGGATTTAGCGGGGGCGGACACTTCTCTCTTTCAGGGATTCGACCCCCTGCCGACCCAAAGGGTCCCCCTTTGTACTATTTTGAGTTTTTCATTTTTGGTAACGGTCCCTAAAATTTTTCTAAAGGCGCCTTTGGCGCCAATATATACTAATTTCGAGGGGGATCGCGCGCCAAAAAAAACGCAATTTTTTTGTCAAAATTTTTTGCAAAAAGTGCCGAAAAACCCCTTTTTCGGCCTGTTTTTTTTCAAAATTTTGCCTGCGGTGCAGAAATTTTTGCCAAAACAGGGTCTTTCATGGTCTTTCTACTGCTTTGGGAGAGCTCTGAAAATCAACTTGGTCGACTTAAAAAAAGGTCGACAAAACTTTTTTGAAATTTTTTTGAAAATCCGCCCCCCGCCCTCAAGAAAATCCTAGATCCGCGCCTAGAAAAAATTTGGTCAGAATGGCATTTATTTTTCCAGCTATCTGTCTTATCAAAAAAAAGCAGGTGAAAATTATCGCAGGATAAACTCGTGTACTTCTGTAGTTTTATAACTCAGTTTTTCAGTATTTTGATTAGGCCATGAAAAATTTTCGTCACATGCACTAATTTATTCACTGGAATTGTCTGAAAAAAAAAACATTCTGCTCCAAGCATAAATATTTTGCTATCTAACATAAAATTGAAAGTGGCAAAAACAACAATTCTGAATCCGTATAACAGTATAATAATATTCTGGAAAATGTTCTCTTTTTGTTTTAAATTTTTAACCAAATACAAACCTAATTTGCATGTCACTGAGAATGAATGACAGTCAAAGGTATACTTTTGTTGGAAAATAACTTTTTATCAGCACTCCATTAGGATCAATTTTAAGATTTTTCCAGTTTTAAAATTTGATATTGTAAAAAAATCCATTTCGAAAGCAAGTTGTATAATTCTATTTTTCTTATTATTAAGAATCTTTATCGGTATTAAAAAATCACTAGAAGTTTTTGTTTTTTGTTTTCCAGATCGAATGAATTTTGAATAATTGGCGCAAGTTTAGTAATGTAATTGATGCAACTAATTCAAGTTCAACTGTTTGTACTCAGTTACAGTCCTAGAGCAAGGGTGTACTCAATTTTGCGTAAGTTTTTACTGTTTTTATTTTTGAATCGGTATCTCTGGTGGAGATATTTTCTTCTTTTTACAGAGCGGTTGATTTTTTTGCATATAAGTTTATTTTAGACTAATATCCATATATGTTTGTAAAATTTATGATAGATTTTGAACGTTTTTACCCAAAAAATTAAATTTTTTTACTCATGTTTATAAAAAAAGATGTTATCAACTTGTATCCACTGCTTTATATTTTTAGCTCAATTTATTTTTAGCTCAATAAATATTTTTTAACTAATTTTTTTTTTTAATTTTGGATTTTCTTGTAAAATTTGATTATTTCAAAAAAAATTTAAATAGGCCCCTCAAGCTACGCTAAGTAAAAATAATGTTCTTAGCGTTTAGTACCACATTAATTACGCAAAAAAATATTGCTTCATTTTCTTTTGAAACAATTTATAAAGCTGATTAAAAAGCAGCTTACCAAAAAAATTTTCTTATTCAAATAACTATTCGAGGCAATATTTTTTGTGTAATAATGGAAATTAAAAAAAATTTTAGCAAATAAGTTGCAATGCGATATCGCTATTTTGTATATTGTTCAAAAACAACCAAAAAAATAGTGTTCACTGCTAATGAGAGCCGAGATTTTTCTTCCAATTGATGTTTATTAGCAACTGCTACCTTTCTTACCATTAACACATATAAACACGGTGAATGAGCTAGCCTCAGAATTAGCACGGTGCGGTAAAAACGGGTTAAAACGGGTTAAAACGGAGCCTCAGAATTAGCGATGGTTGGCGGTGTCTTGTACACTCACTGGTGGCGTGGTGTGCAGTAACGTTGTTGGTGTGGTTTCGGATAATTCACACTTCACTGCTTGAAAATAAACTATTTACAGTTATTATCAATAACTATGAATACAATGGCCCTTAAAACTGATGAGAACTTGATACAATCTGGAACCTGGGAGTTCTTAGTATTTATATTTAAATTGTGCATCAAGTTACCAACACAGAGTAGCATATTTTTGTAGTAGAAAAACAACAGCTAAATTTTGCATCGAGAGTTGTGGTGACATAAATCGAGACACTCAGTGTCGAGCTGTGAACCAATTTCGAGATGCAATTTAAGCTGTTGCTGATATGGTATGAATTCATACAAACACAGGAGCGGATTAAGGGGGGGGGACGCCTTCCGCTCAGGGATTCGAGTCCCTGCCTTTGCCGCCAATATATACTAATTCTGGGGGAGGGGGGGTTCTGGGAGCACGCGCCTAATAAACGCGATTTATTGCTCAAAATTTTCCAAAAATTGCCTAAAAACGCCTTTTTTGGCCTGTTTTTTCAAATTTTTGTCTACGGCGCAAAACGTCTGGCCCAAACAGTGACTTTTTAGTGTTAGGGGAGAGCTCGAAAAATCAGTGTGGCCGACTTAAAAAATTGTCGACAAAATTTTCGAAAGATTTTTGAAAATCCGCCCCCTTGAGAAAATCCTAGATCCACCCCTGTAGAAACATGTAGTTTTTACTCTCTAATTCGTTTGTTTGATTGATCGCTGGAAGCACAAACATATTTGATGCTAAAGTTGAAAATTATAAAAAAAGAATGTGCTGACTGAAAATTGCTATTTTTTCTATCATAGCAGTAAGTACACTTAATCTGACGGGTAACTACTTGTTCTGACATTGGTAACGACAGTAACGGAATATTTGAGCTCGGGGTGGTTTATTTCTTCAGACTAATTTCGATTTTTTAAGTAGTCATTTTTGACCTTCTGACGAAATTTCCTTGTTTTATTCAAAATGTGTTTTTGTCCTGAGCTTATTAAATGAAAAAATGAACAAAAATTTGAGCTTAAATGGATTTTTTTGGCTTTTTTACTCAATCAAAAATTACGTCGAAATCAAGTGAAATCAACGTCTCCCAAAACTTGCAAGAAGAGTATAATCTCCAAAACGTTGTATAAAATAATTGACTTTTCTTGATATACAAAAAAGAAGAATTTTGCAAAATGAAACTCCAATTTTTTATTTAAATACTTGTTTTAAACGTTTTGCGCGATTTTTTTTGTTGAAAACACCCTTGTTAAAGAATGTTGGATTTTACCGCTTAAATTAAAAAATTTAAGGAAAATTAACCTGAACTGTTACGATAAAATAACCTTAATTCTCTTCATTTTTAAAATTTTTTACCTTAACACTTCAGATTAATTTACCTTAACTTTTTTGTTCTTAGGGAAAAATTTAAGCTAGAAATACCTTAGTGTTAAGGTAAATATAGATAACTCACCTGCTTTTCAAAGGTAATTTTTTAAGGTAAATTTCCCTATAAAAATTAGTTTAAGGTACTTTTTAAGGCTGATACACCTTAACTTTTAAGATGATTTTATATTATATCTCATATTATATCAGTGGTCGAACTGGCACTTTTAGCTGGTTTTTGATTGACTAAAAAAGCCAAAAAATTTTTTTTGGTTTTAAAATATGGGCTCGAATTTTGCAAATTAAGTTGAAGAAATTAATTCTGCTAAAATTCTAAGCAAGTTTTGTGCGCTTCATTTTTTCATATTTTGTCTAAAGTCAACCCAGTTTTAGAAAAACGCGTTTCAATTTTCAAGTTTAATTTGTTTTGTCCTGATAATCAGCACTGTATAATCCGTTAAAATATTTTAAACTTCATGACCCAAAATATCCGTTCTTGTTTCAGACGAGTACAGCGGAGAACGTGATCAGAGGTCAGACTCGGATGCTGATGGAGTGGCGAGAGAGCTTCGTGAACAGGATCGACAGGTTCCGGGAGCAGAGCATCTGGTCATTCGCACTTCTTCTCTGCTCAGTCATTCTAGGTGCGAAGCAGTCGGTCACTTACTTATAACTTCTTCTCAAAACACTCCTCGATTTCATGGTTTTATTAGCCCAGTAACTATCCTAATTGCATTCCTTAAATGGTTTTAACTATTGAAAGGTTTTATATTTGTATGATAAAAATTAAAAGCAAGATTGTTATCAGCCCAGAGAAATAAACTGTTTTTAAAATAAAGTTTAGGTCTTTAAGGAACACAACAGCGGTTCTCCGCAAAATGCTCGTATGGTGGTCCTGCTACTCTAGCATAAATGGTCTTAACTAAACTTATTGACTGGGTGGAACTAGAGTTGTTATTAAAAATTTGAGTTTTGAATGAAAATATACTTTTAGGTTTGGAAAGATGTTACGCAATCATGACGAGAGCCAAGGTGCAGAGGGAGAAAATGAGGAAGAAGAGTCTGGCCGTTGGACTAGAGGATGTTCACGCTAAAATGGACGTCTAAAAAGGGGTGTTAGCTTGCAATAAACAGGTGTGATTATTCGCACTAAAGCCTTAAACTCGGGTAAAAAGTTGAAGAAATGCAAAAAAAAATATTACTGTTAGCTTAGAAAAAAAAACCAATGGGAAAAATTAAAAAAGAATTTCAAAACTTCAAAAAAATCGTAGTAATTGAATGAAAATGATCGAAGCATTTTTCAATTTTGAAACTGCGTAAGCTTCAAATATCTGTTTATTGCAGGCGTTCTCCTCAAAAATATAATTCCTGCCGCCGCCATAGTAGATTTTATTGCCCAAACAACCTGATTTCACTTTTTATTGAATTTTAACGTTGCTATACTTTTTTGCTTATACGTTTGAGCCGAAAATGGTTGTACAAAATAATGTTCTCAATTTAAAATTCCGTTCAATTTCTAGTTATCATCGAAAGAAGATCTTGTTTTATGTCCATTTTAATTTATTATTTTATAAAAACTTTTGTAGACAGTTTGTATAATTCTTTTAGCCATTGAGTTTTAGAATTTTTTCTTCGCGATGATTGATTTCTTGGGATAAGAAGCCGAGTATAAAATGAATAAGATGCTGAGTAAAATGGGATGCTTAGGTGGTGCTTAGTCCATTTCACCTGACATTTTTGAGAGATTGACAGCCATAATAAACCCACCAATGGATGTTAATATTTTCTTGTCTGTCAAAGCACATCAAGATTAATTGAATTCTGATCGTGTTTTAATCGAACCTCACTTGATTAATGCTTCCATTGTGTCTACTCTCAATTCAGCAGGTGAATTTTACACCCCACCGAATTGAAAGACTAATCTCTTTTTAATAAAATAAAAAAAATCGGCGCGTTTTTGACTTCAGCTGGTTTTAAATACATCTGAAAAATCAAATAAATTATAGCTCAAACGCGACTACTGATAAAAAACCGAGCGTTACAAGCTTGTTTCTCCAGTGAATTTAGTAAAAAGATGGCAGGAAACCTGAAAACTGACAACAAATTTCTCAAAATTCAGCGCAAAACTTTGCAAAAAGAGCTTGAAATTTTACGGCTAGGTCACACGAGCAAAATAAAGCAAATCGAAATGTATCGGAAGCAGTTTTATGACCGAAATACTCGACTCGACAACGACATGAGAAACAAAGAGTCGTATCTCCGAGGGTCTGAAATCGGAGTTGTCGAGAGTATGATTCATCCCGAAGACCTAGACCGATACACGACTTCGCCTTCAATATACAACCGAATTAAGTCGGCCGACAAACACTTCAAAGAGAGACCCGAGTCAGGACGGCGGTCGGTTGCAAAGCGCCGAGTTAAGTCGGCTCCTACGAAACGAGAGGAAACGAAGACTCCGTTAAGCGAACGTCGTGATGCCGAGCACTATTCGTGTCATCGACCAAAAACAGCAAACACTTTTTTCGCTCGAAAAAATAACGAAGAGGATCTACGGAAGTTCCGCGAAGAGTTGATTGAAATTGAGAAAGCGAAAAGACCAATTTTGCAAAACAAAGTTGAGAGTTTTGCCAAAATTTTCCAAGACATGAAAGAAACTGGGGGATATTTCAATCGAGATTGTGATATGGAGGATGTTGCGAAAAACCTGGATGAGGCCTACTTCAGAATACACCAGAAGTATCCCACTAGAAGGGCGGAAGAGGTCGCACATTAGATGGAGAGTAGCATATATCAATTAACTCGTTGTTTAGTAGATACTGAAAATAATATATAAAAAATATCCTTGCACTTACAATTTATAGTTCGAATATCAATTCAGAGCATTTGTGGCTGAGAAATAAAAAGAATGATCAACCACAGGGGCGGATCTAGGATTTTCTCGAGGGGGGGGGGGCGGATTTTCAAAAAAAAATTCCGAAAATTTTGACGACTTTTTTTTTAGGTCAACCAAATTGATATTTCGAGCTCTCCCAAAGCAGTGGGCACTTTTTGGGCACTTTTTGAAAAATTTTGAAAAAGTATCAAAGGGTCGGCAGGGGGTCGAATCCCTGAGGGGGGGGGGGGGGGAAGAAAGCGTCCCCACCCCCCGCTCCACCCCCCCCCCCCCCCCCCCCCCCTACTAAATCCGCCATCAATCAATCTGGAACCATCTATCACATGGAATCATTTTCGTTGCATTTTGTAGGTTGATTACAATTTTTTTTTCTGCAGATTTTTTTTGCTTTCTTTTACCGCCCCATCAATAACTAAAATCGTCTGTCCAAATTGTAAAAAAGAAGACGTCAAACATTTTTTGACACTGGAAAAGTCCATCGTTGTAGCTGGAATCAGAAGCAGGAAGAACTCAATATGATGCATAATTTGATACTATTTTTTGCCACCTAATGTTGTTATGGGAAAAGCGTGCTCGAACTCTAGTTTACCACACATTCAGAAGTCAAAGCAATGAAATTACCTCACTTCAATGACAGTAGTTTGTTGTCACTTTTTTTCCATAAAGTCTCCCTTAAAATTGCGTTAGCCGGAAGTTTTCATAACTTTAACTGGCAGAACGTAACTGCATATCCTAAGAGTGCGTTGAAATACTCAGTTTGTGTTTACTGATCTAACTTATCTAAGCAGATCCTAAGAATGCATTGAAATACTCAGTTTGTGTTAACTGATCTAACTAATTGTTAGGGGTGGGAAATAAACAATAATTTGTATGCTGAACGAGCAAAACTGCTCTTTTACGAGGGGGAAGGTTCTCATGCTTGAAGGACCGAATGCTTGAAAAATTTCATCCAATCAAAACTGCTAATCATTTCTACTGGTTAAATGCCTTTCTCACAAAATCGAAGTCAATATTAACAGAAAATGTATTAAATCAGTGGAAAATAATCAAAAATATTACAAATTGCGGGTTACAACCGCAATACTATTCAGATAATCATCAAGATTAATGAGGTCAAAATCATAAGAATTTTTCATTCTTGAAAACTCATCTGCTTATTATCTAATTGGTCAATATTAACACTAATGGCCTGGATTTATTTTCTTACTTTGAGTTCTTTGCGATTTATTTTGAGATTTTGAATACTCAATTCTGATTGGCTGAAAGTAAGCTAAAATTATTTTCAAGCATTCGGTCCTTCAAGCATGAGGGACGCCACCTTTTACGAGCACTTAGAGGAAATCAAGTAAGTTTTGCAGACGGGTTGGGTACTTCAATGTTCCAAAGTCAATATTGAAAATTAGACTCATTAGCTCTATAATATTTTCTATGAAAAATGTACATGTACTTTGATAGAAACTGCTTTCGGCGACACGCTGAATTCAAGCATTGATCGTATGAAAGTTTGTGTGTTTTGTAGACTCATATTTTTAAATAGTGCAATTTCATGGATAAACTTCCAAGCCTAAATATTTTGAGGTTTTTTCTAAAAACTATCTTATAAAAGCAAACTCCCATCAATTATTTACAAAATTAGTTTCCTATCAATGCCTATGAAACTAGCCACACAAAGTTCTCAAAAATATTAAAAACCAGCAGTAGAAAAACTTATAAATATACGGACAATTTTGAAAAAAAAATTAAGTTTTTTATAGATAATTTTTTTGTTGTTTTGTTTTTGTTGATAGTTATTTGTGGTTAGTTTCATAGGTGATGAGAAAAAACTAAATTGATGAACAAGACTGCTCGTATCAGGGCGAAGCCCTGATTGTTCCGACTGCCTTTTAAGGTATTATGGAGCAGTAATAACATTAAAAATTAAATGTATTAAAATAAAATGAAAAAAAAAAGTATCTAAAATTTGAAATTTTTTATGAAAATCATCCCCCACAAGCCATATAAAAAAAAACAAGATTTCGCTCCTTGTAACAAATCAATTATGGCAAATAAGCTTCTTGGAACGATTTTAAGACGGATTAACTCTCCGCTTACGCGTTAATTGCGCGAAATATATCGCGCGTTAGTTGTCCCAAATTGGCCAAAATGGCTATCCTTAAACCCCCATAACTTTACGAAAAATGATCACAGGTAAAATATCTTTTCAAATTTGAGCTCAGGGCAACAATATCTTTTGAATGATATAAAAAAATTCCGTCAAAAATGGCTAGTTAAAAAGTCGAAATTTGTCTGAAGAAAAAAAAACCTACCCCGAGCACAAATATTCCGTTACTTTCGTACCGAAAGTCGGAACAATAAATGATGGGATTTTGCTTTTGTAAGGTAGTTTTTAGATAAAATCTCTAAATACTTAGATTTGGAAATTTAGTCATGAAGTTGCAGTCTGAGAAACTATAAGTCTACGAAACACAAAAATTTCTGTGGCAACCAACATTTCTGATTCTTGCTAAAATTTCATTCCAAATCATCACAGCCATTGTTTCGAATCATTGATTCCGAGTCAAAACAAACCAGTTCCGACCAAAATAGCAAGAAAAAATTAAAAATTGTATTTTTCCTACGTTTCCACACTATGTTGGTTTTTTATATTTGTTGCAAATTGCTAAGTTCTAAGGTTAAGAAATGTTTGATTTTTTTGTTAGAAAAACTGAATTTTCGTAGTATTAACTTGTTTTCGGTCAACAGTTCTTCTGCATATTTAATAAAAAATACTAGAAAAAAATTGAACAAACTTTGACATTCACGTTTAATTGGTAACTTACTACGATTTTTTTGAATAATTGAAAAGATAAAGTTTTTTTAAGATAAAGTGATTGCTGTGCCCGAAGCACACAAAGTTTTGACTAAATTTATTAAAAACTATGAGAAAGCAAAGACAAATTAAAAATGTAAATTGTTTTTAAGTTAAATTTTTTTTAAAGATTGACAGAACTACCGCAAAAATTAGAGTTAATATTATGCAGAATCGCATTCAAGTCAGATTATTGGTAGCTTCATTTCTCAACCACTTTACCTGCTTAAATTTTGACGTTTTTAAACCGGTTTTCTCAACACTAAAAAAACTGTTTTGAAAATTTTTTCGCTGTAAATAAATTCTATTATAGTTTGTGGTTTCTAATTTTGCGTGTAAAACAAAAACAATAGAAGATAGCTGGTTCCTGGGTGCGTTGCACAGACAGTTTTGACAAAAATGTAGAAAAAAATTTCTTTTTTTTAAAAATTTTGTGTTGTTTTCTATTCGTGGTGCTATAAGAGGAT